TTGTACCAATGTCGTCAAACGTACGGAACAGTTTGCGAGACATCCCCACATTTATCTCATTGAGTTCTTTACCCAAGTTTGACTTCGACCATGGTTCGAATCCTCAAATGGTCTGCCTGCACCAACTCCGTCAAAAGATAGTCAAAGTTTGCAGGACATTACCGCTACGAAACTGAAGTATGCCAGCGTGAACCAGAGTGTTCTAAACCCATTTCCGGCCTAGACTATGTTCGAATCATAAAATGGTTTGCTTTTCACAATGCTGTCAAAAGTAAGGTACGATAGCATTTGGCAATTGGGAAATGAAGTACCAAGTCAGGGAGCATGACCACCCGATACCGATAATCGCCTGGCATGGTCAGACAAGCATAGTCGCCTCTTAAAACAAGCATGGGTTTCTGAAGACTAATTCTAACCCTGATCTTCAAGGATAGTATTGCTGTGGAGTCAAAGCCAGTGAACGGGGGTAAATCGTGTATTTTATGAGCGCTTCGTTCAGTATTTATACTTGAACTGTCAGTTTTTTACCTTGAAAACCTTGAATCCCATTTTGCAACTAAAAGAGATATCTAAAATCGGTGAAGACAATTTGTTGTCTTGTGTATGGAGACAATTCTCAGAAAGTTTGAATGCATTTCATGCAGGGGTTCCAGAGGAGTAGGGATTTGAAGACAGGTACCCAAAATACCCTTTGAAAACCTTTAATCCAATATGGCTGCCAAACCAACTAATCAATGACCAAAGTCAAAGAACAAATAATGTCAAGGAGCTAAAGCAGCAGACACATGCAAGGTTTGAAAGTAATCGGTCAAGCGGTTTTGGAGCCATAGGCCAAAATATAGCTTCAAAAATTACTTGTTTTTCAGTTATCTGCCCTTGGTCTTTGAACCTACGGCCTTGGGAATTTTTACGTATCTAGAACTTGACTGTCTTCATACACATACAAAATTACAACTAAATCGAGCAAGTGGTTACTTTGCTAGCTCTGGTACAAAACTCGGCGGAATAATAATAATAATAAATATAGCTGCAAAGCAGCAATGGCGGGCTCCAAGTTACACTGTGCACAAACGTCCATGTTCGAATCCTTAAAGGGTTTCCTTGTACCAAATCCGTCACATGTAGGCTCAACTTGCAGGGTATTGCCGCTACAAAATTGGCGTGTGCTAAGTTTGTTCTAAACCCATTTCCGACATCAAACATGTTCGAATCCTCAAAGGGTTTGTTTGTACCAACTCTGTCAAAAGATAGTCACCGTTTGCAGGACATTGGCGTGTTCCAGGGGTGTCCCAAATTTTAATCAAATATTACCAAGTGTTAACGTTGTTACTTTCCATGCACCCAAGAACAGAAAATAAGATGCATATGATACACTAACTTCATGTGAACTTGCAATAGTTTCTGTCATCAAGCTAACAAGATATGATCATTAAAGTAAACTTTCGGTATTTTTTTTTATCAAAATCAAAATCCAATACAACCGCAACTAAAACAGATATCCAAAAACGGCTATTAGGGTTTGCTGTGTTGTGTGTGGAGACAATTCTCAGAAAGTTTGGAAGCATTTCATGCAGTGGATTCAGAGGAGATAGGATTTGAAGACAGGTACCTAAAAGACACTGTGAAAACCTTGAATCCAATATGGCTGCCAAACCATGTGACAATGACCAAAGTCAAAGAACAAAAAATGTCAAGCAGCTCAAGCAGCAGATACATGCAAGTTTTCAAAGTAATCGGATAAGCGGTTGCGGAGCAATAGGGCGAAATACATCTTTAAAAAAATTCTTGTCTTTTAGTTATCTGCCCTTGGCCTTTGGGCCTATGGCCTTGTGTTTTTGGCGGGCACTAGTACCCAACGGTCTTCATACACATACAGAATTTGAACAAAATCAAGCCAGTGGTTTTTTTGCTAGCTCTGGTACAAAAATCAGCGGAATAATAATAATATTAAATCAAAAGCTAACACTGGGGCTCTTGAGCCTTTCGGCTTGGTGACTCTTTAACAGGCTGTAACTTCTTTGTCATTTGGGCTCCAGTCAAACAGATAAGCGTTCTGCGTTCGTCCGGGCCCCGGGTTCCCGTCGCATTGCTGAGATAAAGTGCTAAACTTGTTTCCGACCTCGTTCATATTCGAATCCTCAAAGGGTTTACCTGTACCAACGCCGTCAAATGTACGGAGCCTCTTGTGAGACATCACCACTACTAAATTGACATGTGCCTGGGTGTCCCAGGATGTTTAAACCAATTTCCAACTTCGACCATGTTCGAATCCGCATATGGTTTGCTTGTACCAACGCAATCAAATGTAATAAACCGCTTGTGAGACATCACCACACGTGTCTCAGGGTGTTCTTAACCCATGTTTGACTTCGACCATGTTCGAATCCGCATATGGTTTGCTTGTACCAACGCTATCAAATGTAATGAACCGTTAGTGAGACACCACCACACTTGTCCCAGTGTGTTCTCAACCCATGTTTGACTTCGACCATGTTCGAATCCCCAAATGGTTTGGTTGTACCAACGCCATCAAATGTAATGAACCGCTTGTGAGACATCACCACCCGTGTCCCAGGGTGTTCTTAACCCATGTTTGACTTCGACCATGTTCGAATCCGCATATGGTTTGCTTGTACCAACGCCATCAAATGTAATGAACCGCTTGTGAGACATCACCACACGTGTCCCAGTGTGTTCTTAACCCATGTTTGACTTCGACTATGTTCGAATCCGCATATAGTTTGCTTGTACCAACTCCGTCAAAAGATAGTCACCGTTTGCAGGACATTACCGCTACCAAATTGGCGTGTGCCACAGTTTCCCAGAGTGTACTAAACCAATTTCCGACCTCGACCATATTCTAATCCGCAAATGGTTTGCTTTAAACAACGCAGTCAAAAATAAGGTACCGTAGCAATTGGCAATTGAGAAATGAAGAATCAAGCCACCCAATCCGATTAGTCGCCTCCTGTGACAAGCATAGCTGCCTCTTGAGACAAGCATCGGTTGAAAAAGGCCAATTCTAATCCTGGTCGTCAAGGGTAGTACACATAATACCGAACAAGACTGTGGAGAACGCTTGGATATCTGCAAAGCCAGTGAATGGGGGTGGATGGTAGATTTATGAGACGCTTCCTTCAGTATTTGTACTCAAGTCTGATTTTTTTACTTAAATCAAATAATACCACACCAAGCAGAGGTGCTTTCAGTATGCAACCCAGGACAAAATGAGCTACATATAGTCTCAAAGCTTCATGCAAACTTTCAATAGTTTCTGTTAAGAACCTTACAAGCTATGATCTTAAAAGTAAAATTTCGGTAAAAAAAATGATCAAAATCAAAATCCAATATGACCGCAACTAAAAAAGTTATCCAAAAACGGCTATGGCTTTTTGTTGTGTTCTGTATGGAGACAATTCTCAGAATATTTGAAAGCATTTCATGCAGTGGATTCAGAGGAGATAGTATTTCAAGACAGGTACCCCCAAAACCCTGTGAAAACCTTGAATCCAAAATGGCTGCCAAACCACGTGATCAATGACCAAAGTCAAAGAAAAAAAAATATCAAAGAACTGAAGCAGCAGATACATGCAAGGTTTGAAAGTAAACGGACAAACGGTTGTGGAGCAGCAGGGCAAACTATATCGTCAAAAAATACTTGTTTTTCAGTTATCTGCCCTTGGCCTTTGGGCCTACGGCCTTGGGTTTTTGGCGGGCTCTAGTACCCAACGGTCCACATACACATACACATACAAAATTTGAACACAATCAGGACAGTGGTTATTTTGCTAGGCCTGGTACAAAAATCGGCGGAATAATAAATAATAATAATAATAATAAATAATAATAATAATAAATCGAACGATTACAATAGGGCTCTACAGCCTTTCGGCTTGGAGCCCTAATAATAATAAATAAATCGGCCGATTACAATAGGGCTTCCAGCCTTTCGGCTTAGAGCCCTAATGAAATGTTTATTAAAGATCAGATTTTTATACAGGACAGTTGTTAAGGTTTTTAATTACATTTTGCATTTTTGTATTTTTTGATTTTTATAAAACAGGAAAAGCAATCTAATCGATAAATGATCATGTCTAGTGTTTTTTTAACCAAGTTTAATTGCTATGATCTGTTCGTTTCCCTTCAGTGAAATGATGTATTTTTTTTCTGCAGAAGACAAACCCGTTTTTATTGCAAATGTAGGGATTGTGTATGCGCTGGTGACGTGCTTCATTCTGATTTCGCTTTCTAGACGGGGTATATAATTTAGCATTGGTTTTAAAGGCCTTACAGGGGGGGTCGTCTTATACATGGGGTCGCTTTATAGACGGCGATATACGGTAGTTAGTTCTCAATATTTTGAAGGAAAGTTTTTTGTTCATTTTTGTATACAAATCGAATGTAAATAAATTTTGCTAATCTGTGCATTAATTACAAGTCATGTCTTCCATATGAACAATCCATCAAGAATTAATTAGCAGCGAAAATGTAGCTACATGTCACTAATATATACCTACATGCAGCTTTACATTTCAGTGGAATAAATATTGTATGGATTCACTGACTACTGGTGTAAAACATAATGGTCTCGTGTAAGTATGTCAAGTTGAGATCAAACAAGGTTTGGACTACCTGTAGATCCCACCCAAGTTTCCCATTGGATCCCAACCAATTTTCCCACTGGGTTCCCTACCATATTTCCCACTGGGGTCCAAACCAAATTCCCTGCAAGAACTCTTTAGAGTCTAATATTTTATCTTTAGGCTGCCCCCCCCCCGCACAGTTGTGTCCAGACAGGCCATCCCATCCATTTAAATTGCTGCCACTTACAATCATCAGAAATGATACAATATATACTGCCACTTAACAACATCCAACCCTAGATCATAAATCTAAAAAAGGTTACTGGTGCACACAAAACTAATAACAAAGAAGTTTTTCATTCCCTAATTTGATTATCAATTGGAACAATATTTTACAGCATATAAAGGACACACTACCTTCCTCTGTTGTGAAAGTCAAACATCTGACAAAGTTCTTCCTTTTCTTGGGCTGTTAAGTTGAAGTACAGCCTGTCCATGAGCATCTGCAAATTATGAACATTATTAAATTGATGGCACAAGCAAGGCTCTGAGAGCATAAGGTGAAGGAAAGCACATAATACATTAATAATTATGGTGATGTCAACAAGGCAAGCAATCAGGACAAACTGTGACAATTTGACCATACCAATACTATCACAGAAGCATTTATTGTAAGTATTGAAAAGCTCACATTGTTATCATTGACAAAATATTCAACTGTCATCTGTTACTAAAATAATTTAGCAAGTGAGTCTGGCCGTTCTGTTGTGATTTCTGTTTCAAAATTAAATATCCATGACCACCTGGTAACTCCCAGTGCTGTATATAGTAGCTGAACACCAACTTAATACAAATCATCTAGGCATTGTGTAATGAATTATTCATTGTTTACACACCATTCATCCAAGCTATTTATTTATTTGTTTTAGTGAAGGTGTGAGTTTGAATAACTTTGCGAATTGTATTTGAAGTACGCACGGTCTATGGCGTGTAGAAAATATTGACCTTTGACCATATATACCATATCATATACCTGGGTGGCTGGGTGCATACTTGATTATGAAGATCGGCTAAATCATACCACTCCACTAAAAATGGGAATACCCCTACAGTTATGGAGAGCACGAATCAGAACTTTCGTTCACCAGAAAGACTGCAAAACAAGTTGAGAAAGTGTTGCCATACTCCCCACACTCACAATGGATGGGCGGGACAGCAATGGCTTACGGATTGTGCTGTGTACCACACTTCTACTTACACTGTGGACCTTTGGATCAGTCACTGGATCTACGATGGATTACACTCTAACTATGATGGACCACCAACCGCTCGTGTGCTGGCGAGGTGAGATTTGCATAAACTACTTTGAAAAAGGAACTTTGTTTACATCACGAAAACTGAACCACACACATGACCGTTGGAGACACCAGGTGCTGAGCATACTACTCTTAGCAGGTGACATCGAGCTCAACCCTGGACCCATCGGTGATGACCTATCGGATCTTAAAGCAGCAATCAGCAGATTAAGGACTCGGAAAACTAGATATCAAAAGATATTACTTCAGTAAAAGAGGAAATACAGTTGAGAAGAGGTACGTGTTATTAAAAACGAGATCGATCACCAGAAAGAAGAACAAGCGATCCTAAGACTTGATATATATGCTATGAATAATAGAGTAGAAGACATAGAGAATTATTTGGATAGTATCAGTGAGTTGGAGTCGAAAACCAAGAGACAAAGTAGAAGGAATAACATTATCCTCTACGACGTGCCCAAGAGTGGGGATGAGTGCTACAGTACTTGTAGAGAGAAAGCAGTAGACGTAATTAACAGGGCTAGAGACAAGGACAAGAAAGCGACCACTACAACATAGAGATATTGAACGGGCCCACAGAATCTCTTCAAAATGTGACCATAAACCACGCCCACTGATTGTAAAAATGTCATTGGAGGACAAGATGCACACTATCCGATTAAGAGAAACCCTTAGAGACATGGGATATTGCATAGCAAATGACTTGACATATAACCAAAGACAAGAACTCAATAAATTACGAGCTGAAAATCTGACTGAAAGATTTTTCTATAAAGGAGGCAAAATCATAGAGGATATTAGACGAGAAAAAGGAAATGACAACACACAGCAGAGTCAAGGTAGAGACATAAACATTAAACAAGGTGACAGGAGAGACACACGGACAACACAGGATGACTCTGGGAGTGGGGAATGAAGGAGACGTTATCTTAGGTCAACCTCTCGCTCCCAGACCCCTGGTCGGAAGGCTGTGAGATAGGGCCATGACAATTTACGGGTGCTTCAAACAAGTGAACATCAACAATGATGAACAATTTTTATTTTGGAGAAAAGATTTCTAACTTCGGCCGCCTTTCCGGTGGAATATTACTTCTTATTAGAAAAAAGTTTGAGAATTTTGTGAAATGGACAAAAATCCGTAAAAGTGGAATATTTGTGTTATTAGACAAAACCATGTTCAATACAGATAAGGATGTAATGTACTAGTGTGTGTATATTCACCCAGAATCGTCACACTGGTACAGTACGTTATCACCTGACTGTAGTGACGGTGTGTTATTGTTGCAAGAGGAGCTACTAGATGTTCTTTCTCACTGCGGCAACTATTATATTATATTAGGTGGAGATTTAAATGCACGCACGGTTACTGAGTTGGATTTTGTTGAAGATGATATTCTTGAATATTTAGAAAATGATAATTCTTCAGTGTATAGTTTTCTACTTGACCATTTTAACATGGTACGAGTGTCAGCAGAAAATGTGTTAAACAACTTTAGAAAAAGTTTGATAAATCTATGCAGTAAGATGTAGGTCAGACTCAGAAGTTGGAGACTACACGTTTATTGGCAATCAAGGTGCTAGCGTCATAGATTACATAATCTGTTCATCTGGGTTGTTTGACGTATGCTGTAATTTTTACATTGTATCACGCACAGAATCCTGTCATCTTCCTGTCATGGCTAGCTTACATACTTCTGTACAGACTGAACCCGTGCAAGCTCATGGTAATAAGAAGGCTTCCAAATTCGTTTGGGTCAATGATGAAGCTGACCAATTTATGTACAACTTGTTGAGCAGTGAATGCAATTCTTTATTAGAAAAGGCTGTTGACGAAGTGTTACACAATATAGACGAAAGTGTTAGATACATGTCAGAGGCCTTGTGCACGGCAGCAAGTGACATGAAAAGAGTGTGTACTTTTAACACATCTAGTCAACAGTGATTTGACCGTGAATGTGAGCTACTTAAAACAGAAAGATGTAAATATTTAAACAATTTTAGGAGAAAAAAGGATAATAATTCATTATATGAGTATAATTGTATTAGAAAAAAATATAATAGTGTATGCAGAGAAAAGAAAGCGAATTTTTTCAAAGGGAAGCAGGAAAAACTTGAACATTGTATACGCGATTCTAAACAATTTTGGACCACTCTTAAAGGGCGAAATACTAATCGTTATACACAAAACAATATTCCAATTGATGAATGGTTTAATTATTTCAGGGATATGTTTTCAACCTCTACAGAGAACGAGGAAATATGTTTTGATAACGATGAAACGAATGTATTTGATAACTCTTTTTGTCAGTTAACTTCAGATATTCTTGTTTCCCCTATAACAAGAAATGGAATTTCAGAAAGCATTGCAAACTTAAAAAGAAATAAAGCAGCTGGTGAAGATAATTTGATTCCTGAATTTTTTAAATATTTGTCCCAAATTCTCCTCCGCTATCTTGAAATCCTTTTTAACGTTATGCTTGAAAAGACTTATTTTCCATAACAGTGGACTTTGGGGATTGTAATTCCTTTGCACAAACAGGGATCAACTAATGTCACCAACAACTATAGGGGTATAACTCTTTTGAGTGTTTTCAGTAAGATTTTTACCAGTATTATACACAAATGTTTAGTATTTTGGACCAATTCCTTCAATAAGATAGATGAAGCACAAGCCGGTTTCAGGCATGGATACTCTACAATTGATAATGTATTTGTATTGCAGACACTTGTACATAGATATTTAGCACGAAAAGGAGAAAAAATGTTGTGGTCCCTTTGCAAATCACAAGGTATCAGTAGAAAAATTTGTACAAACCTATAGAGGTTATGGATTCTCTGATGAAATCCTCCTTGGGGCACTTATTGCATTTTCCTTGCTCAAGAAAATCTACATGACATAGTTGTAACCATTTTCCTTAATAAAAAATGTTACCACACAAAAAACAGCGTTTTTGTATGATATATGACCACCCCAACAGGACCTCACCCTCTACAGGCGACACACACCAAGGGGAGCGACTCTCACCCAAATCACTTTTCCAATGTCTCATAGCAGACAGAATGTGGGGAGGCAGGCGGCCGTGCCCCAAGGAGGATTTCATCAGAGAATCCATAAGCTCTACAGGTTTGTACGATTCTCTTTCAGATTAAATCCTCCTTGGGGCACTTATTGCATCAAGACAGACTCCTTAAGATAATAAAGGAAGTGGCATCTGTCTGCAACAGCGTAAATAAACACATCATTTTACAAGACAATAGAGAATTAAAAAAATGGAACACACCTAATCGTGAGGCACCACCGTCGAGAGGCGGGGGCTTGAGATAAGGGCGTGGTCTGACCATACGCTATAAAAAGGGCGCAGTGGTGGGCTTTATCATAAAACGAGTGAAAACTCAAGAACACACACCCCCCCTCCCCCACACTTTTGTACAAGTGATAATGGGGACAATAATCCCTTTGGACAATACGCCTGGTAGCTATGCAGGCTGTAGGGTCCCGTTGGATCGAGCGAGTGCCGTGTGCAAAACGAGAGCATTATCGATTAGTAATGACTACCAAAGAATTGTCATTCCCAGAGAGGGGAGAGGAGACTGAACATTACAAAGTCAAGAAAACCGGAGGACATTCTAAAATCTCGAAGACTCAATCGGCTAAAGATGTAGAACTAAGCCCAGTGCGGTGAACTGACTGACCGAACCGAGCACGCTCCCTGGATTATCGATTTGGTAGTGTTTGATGAACGTACTCGGCCGGCTCCAAATAGCCGCGGAGCAGGTCTCCTCAATTGGCAAAGCTGTGGCATACGCCTTTGACATAGCCACTGCCCTAACTGAATAACCTTCAGCCCCACAGGGGAGTCCCTCCCTTTGTTCGTATACGCCGAACAGATAGCAGAGACAATCCACTGTGAAATAGATTGTTTGCTCACAGGGGAGCCAGCCTTCCCACCGTCGTAACAGCAGAATAATTGGTTATCCTTACGGATATCCTTATGCTTGCTGATATAGACCTTGAGAATCTTGCGGACATCCAAGACATGAGCATGTCTTGCAGAGGTCCCCGACGAGGAAGGCTGTGAAAGAGCAGGTAGCTTGATAGGAGCCTTCACGTGGAAAGCGTGTGCGACCTTGGGACGGTAAGAGTCCGGTAGGCGAATACTGAATCCGTCCAGGTGAAAGACTGTCAG